AATAGAGCTCTAAGTCAAAACTTTTGGAGATCTTTAAAAATACTGCCTCACTACTGTATATTTACATTTTTTCCAACAAGAAGTCTATAGTCATTTTTTTTATTTCTTTTTTATCTGTTTCAAATGTGTATATCCTCTCTGTTTTTAAGGCTCCACTTGATAACTGGTTTTAATCATTTTCTCAGGATGTACCTTGGAGTAGTTTTATTCTGCTCAGGGTGTATTGGGCTTCCTGTATTTGTAGGTTCTTAGTTTTCATTCAGTTTAGAAGAAAAATTGGCGTTTCTTCAAATGCTTTTTGTGGTAATCATTCCCATGTCAGAGATTTCAATTACATACATATTAGGCATCTTAAAGCTGCTCATAGTTCACATTGGTTTACTATATTTTTAAAGTCATTTTTGTCTATTTAATTTTGAGCAGTTTCCTTTTACTTTTAGGTTTGAGGGTACAAGTGAAGGTTTGTGACATAGGTAAACATATGTCACGGACATTTTTTGCACATACTATTTCATCATCCATGTAGTGAGCCCAGTACCCAACAGTTATCATCCTGCCCTTCTCCCTCCTTCTACCCTCCCCACTCAAGTAGACCCCAGTGTCTGTTGTTTCCTTCTTTATGTCCATATGTTCTTATCAATTAGCTACCACTTACAAGTGAAAATATGTGGTAATTGCTTTTTTGTTCCTGAGTTAGTTTGCTATGGATAACAGCCTCCAGCTCCATCCACGTTCCCACAAAAGACATGATCTTGTTCTTTTTTATGGCTGCATAGTATCCCATGGTGTATATCAACCACATTTTCTTTATCCAACCTGCCATTGATGGGCATTTAGGTTGATTACATATCTTTGCTATTGTGAATAGTGCTGCAATGAACATTCACATGCAGTTTTAATTGTGCATTTATTAACATCTTTCCTGCATTTTTTTATCTGCTGTTAATCTTATTCTTCATTTCAGACATTTTGTTTTTCATCTCTAGAATTTTACATTGGGCCTTTTTATACCTACAATGTCTCTGTTTAATATCCTCATATTTATTCTACCTACTGGTTATCTGCAATATAGTTATAATAGATGTTTTAATATTGTCTGTTATTTTTAGGATCTGTTTCAAGAATCTGTTTTACTGATTGATTTTTCTTCTCATGATGGATCACATTTTTCTTGTCTCTTTGCTCGCTTGATAATTTGTATTGGCTGCCAGATATTGTGCAATGTACCTTGTTTGCTAGTTTTGTGTACATTTAAATATCCTTGATCTTTGTTCTAAGGTACAATTAAGTTACTTAGAAATTGATTGATCCTTTCAAGGCTTGATTTTAAGGTGGGATCACAAGACTTTAGTCAAAGGCTAATTCCGCCCCAGTGCTCAGACAATATCCTTTAGAGTACTCTACCTGATGCTTCCTTGTATTACAATGTTCATTCAACTCTAGCCAGTAGGAGCATAAACTCTTCCAGGCTCCGTAGGAATCCTGGCGGTTGTTCCTTTGAATCTTTCCTTCTGATTCCTTTTTTGGTCCTAGTTGGTTTCCTCACATATATGCACTGAGTAATATTCAGTTGAAGTCTCAAAAGGAATTCTCTTCAAATCCCCAGAGTGCTCTATCTGTGCAGGCCTCTCTTATTTGTGAAGCAATATCATGCCTGGTTGTTGTCTCTATAATTTAAAGCCACCTTGGAATGTACAAGTTCTCAACTTTCTCTGGTTACCTCAGGGAGACTGCCGGGCAGTGTTTGGATTTCCCTTTTCTGTAAAACAACCAAAAAACTATATAAATATAGTTTTGCTCATCTCATTTGTTTCTGTTGTCTTGTTCTCTTGCATAGCTTCTTTCCAAATGTCTGAAAACCACTATTTCATATATTTTGCTTGTCTGTTTAGTTTTTTTAAGGTAACAAGGTAAATCCTTCCCCTCATACTCATGGTCAAAAAGTAAAAGTTATGAAGTATTTTACGGATATGAATATTCTAAGGAACATATATATTGAAAAGACCTCTCTAGAGACTGTCCCATGGGGAGGCAGTACGTCTGAGAATCCTATCTTGTACCTAACACACACTTGCAAATTGAGGTAAATACTTGGGAGCAAGCTTATTCATTCTAATGTCTACTCTGTCTGGGAGGTTCTATTCCATTTGAACTCTCAATACATGCTGTAATGGCTCATGTTTTTGTTCGCATTTTGCAGCATGAAATCACCCTTGCTCAGTTTGAATCAGGCTGATTGCCAACCCATTGCTTGGACCACTGCCGGGTGTGATTTGGCTGTAAATAAATATAACTGATATAATGGTTTCACACGTGGTTATTTTGGCCATCGTAATATAAGCAGTTACAATCTGCTGCTGGCTAAGTATTTTGATTGCCACTATTCACCATAAAATGTCAGTGCGGTTGTGATTTATAGCGATGACCTTAGTAGGTATAATTGAATTTTCCTGGCATTGTGGAGTTGGAGCACATCTGCAAATCACAGCTGGCAATGTCTCTGGTTAATCTAGGCATAAATACAGCTGGGCCAGTGAATAAGCATTCAAAAAGAAAAAAAAAATCCAAAACAAAACATAACTAGAACCAAGAGTTGATATAGAAATTCCAGTTTATTAGCTCATTTATTTACTCAACATCTTGAGTTAAGTGGTAGAATATGTGAGAAATCCAACATAACACATATGCAAAATAGTATTTAGCCTATTATAGCTTGCATTCCATAAAACAGATACATACAATTGCAAAGGAAAATAGCTTTGAAATGTTAACTGATGTAAGTTTCCTGTTGTTTTTCTTGGAATTACCTGTTGCTCCATGACTCTTTAGACACTTCAGTTCCCAGTTAGAACTTTACTAATTTAGTATTTCAAGGTACTGACGATCAAGACAAAAGAGAAAAAAAAGGAAGTTTTTCCAAGGTTTTGAGTTTTAAAGTTTAGGTCTCCCAAATGATAGAAAGGAAAATAGCAATGCTCTTCCGATCTGATACTAGAAAAAGTCTCTCAGAGTTCAAGAAATGGGGAAAGTCAGAGAGGAAACATTTTCAGTAGCGATTTGGGGTTCTGCACAAGGAGAGATTGCATGCTGCTCAACCCAGAAGATAGAAGGAGGAATGACAGGGCCAGAAAGCCTGGAGAATCTGTGCAAAAGGAATCCATGCCTACTTTCTTGTGAGAACCTGGAGGAGCAGTAAGAGCTTGTTCACCAGTTGCTTCCAGTTAGATAGATTCAAGACCAGTGCATTTTAATTGCACATTTTGAAGTCCTCCACCCCAACAAGATGCAGATTCTTCAGAATAACTCTCACATGTCTGAGAGAAACTCCAAACTTCCTCCTATTGAGGCTAATCATGGGCTTCTAAAAGAGGATTAGCCAAGAATGAATCAGACTTTAGATCGTCACTTACGTAGAACCAGAGAGAGAACTGTAGAGATCAACAACAGGACCCGCAGTGCCCTGGTTCTCCCTCCCAACCTCTTCTGCCTCCTCCTCATGTAAAGCCTCCTAACGTTAAACCCAATCCTTAAGAGAGGAGAAACCCTGAATTGACTAAGAGATTTTTCTGCTAACCAGCAGAATAGGGGATTTGTAATAAAACTGTTAAAAAATAAAAAGGTTTTGCCATAACCAAGTTAAATTACTTTTCTTACACTTCTGAGTTTGGGGTTTAAGATTTAAAACAACTACATGGTAGAAGTTTCTGTGATACCTTTAGCTTACTATTTTCTGGGCCTTATCTCTAATACCAGCATTGCAAAAGATATTCATTCAACAAGTCCTGGGCAGTTATGCAATTAGAACCCAGAGAAGGAATGTGAGATACCATAGTCTGTGAGCTACTGCAGCTGAAATTAATCCACATCAAAAAACTCAGTGGCTAAAAGCAACCATTATTTATTGTCATTCACATGTCTTCATGTTGGGTGGGGTTTGGAGGCTCTGGGGTTGGCAGCCTTGTTTTATGTGGCTTTTTTTCTCCTTGGACCAGCAAGACAATCTGGGTATATTTTCCTTGTGATGAGGGAGGGGCAAAGGGCAGGTAGAAACATAATGCCTCATAAGTCCTGGTCTAAAAACAAACCCACTGTCACTTCCACCCACATTTATTGGTCAAAGTAAGTCATGTAGTCAGCCCAAAGCAAGGAGTGGGAAAGTGCACTCTGCTCAAGATGTGTTCATGGCAATGGTGTAGTTTCAGAGAGGGGTGAATAGTTTTCCAGTCATTTGACTGATCACAGGTGAGAGTAAAGAATTTTTTAAAGTGCCACCTACTGGTAGCCAGACACTTTGCTAAGTGCTTCACATGCTACACACGGAGGTCTGTAAAATGGTATTATATAGTCTGCATTGTTTTATCCTTTGTTTCCCTTAGCATATGAGGAAACGGAGGCTCAGAGAGGCCAAGTAACCTTCCCACTATGCATAGTTTGAGACTGAGCTGAGATTCCAACTTGTATCTGTTAGACTCCAAAGCCTGTGATTTGGAGGAACCAGGCTATTGGCCAGATCTCAGGTTTCCTAATGCTGAATCAAGCCCCCTTTTCCTGAATGACCTTGTTTCTAGATGACTAGATAGTTCCAAGGGGTCTCTTCTTTTTCTAATTTCAAGCACAGTCCTTCTTCCTTTTTTCCTGTTTGAGTTGCTAATTAATTCAATGACTTTGCCTTGATTCCTGTTAGTAGGTAACACCATGATTGATACCATCTGGAAAACATTTATTCAGGTGTTCAGTGGAAAGTTTCACAGAACAGGAGATGTAAAAGGAGACCCACAAGAGGTGCTGTGTTTGCATAAGTGATAAATTACCAGCCCTTGGATTATCTGCCAGGAGCTCTCCCTCCAGGTTTGGGAGCAGCACCTTTTCTGCTGTGGTGCCAGCTGTATTATTTACCACTTTTAGTAAAGCATGTGCCCTCTGAATGAAGTGAGGAGAGTGGAACCACTAAGCTTGCATAAACTGGCTTTCAAGAGAATCTGTTTTCCTCCAATTGTATCAAGTGCCTTCTCCCCGGGTAGTCATACGTCATACTTTTAGAAGCTCAGATCCCAACAGCTGGAGATAAAACTCCCAATGTAATGGAAGAAAACATGTTGACAGTTTTAATTGGTCCCTAAAGTAAAACCTGAGAAACGATTTATTGGTTGATAGATTTGAGACTTCCAACTTAGCAGAGCTGGGAAGCATATGGGAAAGATAAATGCACTAGAAATTTGTGGCTATTTGTTAGAAAGTTAGTTTTATTTCATTGAGTATATGATAATCAATTGAAAAATCCCTTTAAATTTCATTTATTGCTAAAGTTAATGATCCATCTACTAACCTCCAGGCATGAACACCTGCATCTTAGACCATGCTGTGGTTTTCTACCAGTATTGAATCCTTCAAGGGTCCTAAATCTGTAGACCCAAATAGGCAAAATCTCTATTCCCAGCCATAGGACTTCATTAATCAAGTGAGAAATATCTGGTGAGGCTGAGGAGCTCTGCAAGCACTGAGAGGCTGACCATCAAAGACACATGAGAACTTCTATTACTGTATACCCACATTCATCAACAATTGCTGCAATGACACCACATAAAAATCCACTCCCAAATCTTCCTGGGTTATAACAGCAAATGTTTTTGTTTTACTCATGAGTATGTACATCGATTTCTTGCTCACAGGACTGCAGGCCAGCTGACACCAACTCTGTCTGTTTCAGATTACAGGTCAGCTTCATGTCAGCTTCTTGCACTTTTCCTTCCAGAACCCAGGATCAACGTGCAGAATCGTGGTCATGTTCATCCCATGGCAAAATATAGAAACACAATAGGGCTAGAGAAAACTAGCTGTGTTTTTTTAAAGCCTCATCTTGAAATTGGCACATTATCACTTTGCTTATATTCCTTTGGTTAAAACAAATCGCATGTTCTCAAGTCAGTAGACCAGAAAAATATACTCTACCCCATGGTGGGGGGGGGGAAGAGAGAGAGAGAAGAGAGAACACAAATATTTGCTAAAAAATCATCTAATAAAACCCAACTTTATTTTTTTTAATAGAATATGACCTTTGTTTTTCTCTTCTAGACAATTTAGGGCAATTGAGAGTGCAAATAGGAATATGTGCATGAAATAACTCATGGAGAGATAAAGAGAATAAGGAACTGTAAACTTTTTTTGTAAATTGTAAAATGTCATGTAATATTACAAATAGGAAACCATTTATTAACCACCCATTATGAACTGTGGAAGGTAAAATGTTGAGAATAATTTATTCATACAAGTCATTCTGACTACAAAGCCTGCTAGTCTACACTGTATAATGAATTTAAAATATAATTTTTAATAATAAATATCCTAGTGATAAGGGCCTTATAATTTTCTCTTTAGATAGAGGTTAGGTATTGTGCAAGACATTTTTTGGCAGTGTTCAGGGTAGGTTGCAGGATTGGCTGAAGGAGAGATAAGGAGGGAAATAAAGATGAATAAGATGTGCGTTGTACTTTCTAGAAGCTTAAGCCTTGTAGTAGAAATAAAATATGTTCATGAGGAATAACCCTTCCCTTCCTCCCTCTTTTCTTCCTTTCATTCTTTCCTTTCTGTACTGTGACGGGGCATAGTATAATGGTGAATAATACATATTCTGGAGCAAAACTTCAAGGATTTAAACTCTTGCTCTATCAGTTGTTAGGTCTATATTCCTAGGTAAGTCATTTAACCTCCATGTGCCTTAGTCTGTTCGTTTGTAAAAGGAATAACATAATTGCAACAAAAATTGTTGTCCCATCACTTACCCTTAGCATTTGCCTATATGTCGTGAAGGCTGCTAACAATAAAACTCTTATGAATCTCTGCTGAAGAGCTTTTCTTTTCTATTTTTTCTCTGGTCATAGAAGTATGGTCAGCCCACCCAGAGTACTCACAAGGAGCACTTGACCAATAATAGGCACAGAGATAGTAGATAAATATCTCATCTTCCTCACCCCTAGTTTGATATAATGCTAAGGTTTATTCTGCCTATATTTTATTGTTTTTCAATGAGATTAAGCCCCAGTTACATATTATGATAACTCAATTTGATAACAAGAATTTGTACAAAAATTCTTGTGTCAGGACTGCTTCTGGAGAATCTAAACTTAATAGTTGTATCTATGTTGCATGGTTCTTATGAAATTAGACATGTTAACATATGCATGATGCTCTTAGACCAGTGTCTGACATTTAATAAGTGCCACATTGGTGTTAGCTGTTATTACAACATTAGAATGAAAGTTCCATGAGGGCAGAGCTTTTTTTTTTTTTTTTTTTGCATACTTTATTTAAACTCAGATTTTTTATTCTGCTTTTGGTAAAACAGGCTCTTCATGGTTTACAAAAATTTTTATGAATTACAAAAATGCTTTTTCCTTTTCATGTTTTTTCCTGTATTGCCATTTTTTTTTGCCTGTATTCCCCCATTCAAGATTGGCTGCCACAATTAGAAAGCACAAGGACTTTCTTTTAAACTTGCATCTGTAGTGGAAACCTTAGTGGCAGACAGTAACTGTTATGGGTCTGTCACATAGATGCAGTTTTATTCACTTCTGAATTTTTAGCATCTATAACAGTGCATAATCCATAGCAAGTACTCATAAATATTTGATAATAAATTTAATTAAATACTTGGGTGCCTTCTAGGCTTTGGTGGTATGAAAAAATATTGGAATATATACATATCTTGGACGAGCTTAAAATCCAGTCATTAATCGTTACATAAGCAGAAAAATTACAAAAAAAAAGACAAAAAGATCTACAATGGTGGTAATAGAACAGGTAAGTAATAGATAAGTAAGAGAAGATATGATGAAAATGCAGAGGAAAAGATTAAATTTAAATAGTTAGATAGGTAGGCAAGAAAAAGAAAGCTTCCTGAGGGAACATTTATACTGGGCCTTAAATGACGGAGAATATTACCTAAAAAGATAAAAGCTCATTTGCAGGTTTGGAGTTTTCTCTGTGCCATGCCTGTTATGTGACTTGCCTCAGAAATTTCTTTGATGGAATCTAATTGCAGTCTTTCTTAAGTACTTGTCAATAATTAAGGTAACGTTTCCATCCAGATGATCAGTGCCTTTAGGGACCAGCAGCTTTATGGCATTAGTGACAAAAAGAAACAGCAGGATAAAAGGATCCTATGAGTCTTGAAACCAAAAATTGCCAGTTTTTTCCCAAAGGAAAAAATCACATAGTAAAAATAAATCTAAGAACAATTGGAACAAAATCAAAGCAGGGCCAAAAAAAAAAAGAAAAAAAGAAATTAGGATTAGGGTCTTAGGGTCATTGCATTGGTAAATGCAAAATAACGGTAGAGAACCATTAAAGAAACCCCAGGAAATTCAAACAGTGCTTCAATAGCTCATGCCTGAAAGATCCCAGAAATATTCTATCAGTAGCACGGAGACCTATCCTTAAAATTAACTCTGTTGATCCCAGTTACAGTGAAGGTTCAAACACTTGTAAGACAGGGCAAGTTCCAGAAGACATAGACAAAAGAAGAAGAAGAAAAAGAAGGAGAAAGAGAAAGAAGAGGAGGAGGAGGAAGAGGAAGAAAAATAAAAGAAGAGGAAAGAGAAGGGGAAGGAGAAAAAGAAGAATAAAGAAGGAGAAGGAAGAGGAGAATGAGAAGAAGAAAAGGAGGAGGAGAAGAAACAAACTGTAAAAGCAAAATACAAATGAGGGTAACAGTTTGGAGGGCAAAATCCATAGATCTCTAATGAAGAAAATAATAGAAACAGGGAGCCTTGCTGAATCAGGCTTAGCCCAGAGAGGCAGAGAAGAAGATAAACAAAATGTCATAGTTTTAATACTTCCTAGTAGTCAGAGAGGAGGGATCCTTTTATATGTGAATCTGCGATTGCTTCCTTGGCCTACCTCCAACCTCTACAAAAAATCTTTCTTTTTTTTGCAGGGGGAAGGGGGGATTTGCCAGTTTTACATTTTTTTAATTGTACTTTTGGTTCTGGGGTACATGTGCAGATCGTGCAGGCTTGTTGCATAGGTACATACATGGCAAGGTGGTTTGCTGCCTCCATCCCCCCGTCACCTATATCTGGCATTTCTCCCCATATTATCCCTCCCCAACCTCCCTACCCCCTGCTGTCCCTCCCCTAGCCCCCTCAACAGACCCCAGTGTGTGATGCTTCCCTCCCTGTGTCCATGTGTTCTCATTGTTCATCACCCACCTTTCTTTTGATAGTCTCATTTAAGCAAATAATTTAAAAAATATGAAAAAGCTATTATAAGATTAAAAAATACAAGTGAATTTTTATGGACAATCTTGTCCATTGAAAAACTCACATTTTTGTTTACAAAGATTCAAACTGAAGTCAGATATTTTACTTTCAGTAAAAAGAAGTAAAGAAAATGACTAAGGCAGTGAAAGAATAGCAGAAACAAAATATTTTAAAAATTGAGATGGTTGGACAATAGAAAGAGATGAAAAGAGCTGAAGGAAATAAAGCACAAAATAGAAAAACTCAGGAAAAAAAATGAATTAGAAGAAATACAAAATCAAGTAGACATTATAGAAAGCATAATGTTGGAAATACATGTAATGGGAAAACTGAAAATAATGAACTGAAAATAAGGGGACAAATTATTTAAGAAAATCTGAAATATAAGCAGAATAGAGAAGCAGCATATGTGTAACTAGAGTTTCCAAATGAGCAAAAAATCATTGGGGCAGAGCCAATATTTATAACTATAGATTAAAAAAAAATTTTTCCAGAAACAAAATAAACCTTAAATCTGTGATTGAAAGAGCACTGTGTTGGGGAAACAGACTTTATAGTTTTAGTGCAGGCAAGTTAACTATTAGAACAAAACACCAGATTCCTCAGAAGCTCATACCGGAATCCAGAATTGCTTCAAGAGGTTCCCTAAAAGGTACAATTTTCAACTGAGATCATCAGATAAACAAATTAGGAAGTATGACTCATACATAGGAAAAAATAAGTCTTCAGAAATAGACTTTGAGAGAGCCCTGGTTGGATTTCATAAAGATTGAAAGTAACTGCTTAAAATGTCTTCAAATAATTTTTAAAAAGCATAATCAAATTATTTTTAAGTACATAGTTTTGATTATTGAACAAGTAGAAAATTTCAACAGAGAATTAGGAATTCCCCCCCTCCCCAGAATCAAATGATAATTCTAGATCTGAAAAAAAAAATGAAATCAAATAAAAAATTTGCTAGGTGGGCTAAAGAGTGGTTGGAAGATAGCATAAAAAGATACAGTGACTCTGAAGATAGATTGATAGAAATTATCCAATCTGAAGACCTGAGAGAAAAAAAAAAGTAGCCCTAAAAAAAAAAAAAATCCATAGCTTTAAATATCAAATCATATCAAATCTATAGCTTTAGTATCCATAGCTTTAAATATCAAAGTCAGTAAAAAATAAAATTAGTTAACTCTCCAACAAAGAAAAGCAGAAAATAAAATTTTAAACAAGCAGAAAGAAGGAAATTAAAAAAAAAAATAAAGCACAAGTTTATAACAAAATAAAAATACCATAGATTTAAGAAGAGAAACACAAAAACTGGTTCTTTGGAAAATCAAGAAAGTAGACAGTGGAATGGAATTTGCTAATCTAATTGGAGAAGGGGTTAGAGAGAGGGGGAGAAACACACAACCACACAGGCATCCATTAGTATAACGCTACTTACCTCTGTCTCTGATAGGAGTGACCTGCCTGATGTGTGACTTTGTAGAACGAACTTGTTGAACTGGAGATGGTTAAGCTACAATCATTGCTCTGAAATTTAATAATCAAAGGAAGAGAATGAGACAGTTATCTTACCTTTCTGGTTTGATCTGTGTGTCAGAAGTCATCACATAGTTTTCATGGAAACTACGAAAGGAAAGTTCTTTTATACAGAGTAGTTCCCACTAAAAAATACAAAAATATAGAATTGAAATTCATCATCTTACAAGCCCAATGAAATAACAGAATAACAGTAGTGAGCAATCATTTCATAAGTGACTTACAAATTGTGCTATGCTCCTGTGCAGCAGCATAAACATCACCCAAGAATTTGTTAGACGTGAAACTATTTGGTTGTAAACCCAAAACAATTCAATTAGAAATTTTGGGGTTGGGGCCCAGCAGTCTCTCTTACAACAAACTCTCCAGGTAATTCTAATTAGGAAATCAAAAGCTAAGAATTGCTTTATGTCACACTGGCTCACATTATTTGATTCTGCAGAAAAATCAAAGAGGATTAAGGCTGATTCAAGGACATGAAAGTTCTCTAGGACATCCTTGTTTTTATTGCTTTCTGATTTTGGCCAGGGTGGAGGTTTGGAGGTGGTGGAAAGGTTTTTGTATTTTGGAGGCTCAATAATGCTGTCATGTTTCTTCTTCCCTTGGTTCTGACCTTTCAGTTAAGACTGTGTCTCAGAAACACTGCAGAAAGGTCAGAAAGATCTTTTCTATCCAACTTTACTACCTAGACTGTTAAATCGTAATTTTGGTTTCTGAAGCCTCCCTAAGGAACTGGGACAAATTGAGTTAATCAAATTTTCTAGACTCCTTTGATTCTTATACAGGCATACAGACCTGGCTCCTGTCATTTTGAATTTCTGAGCCTTTTTTTTTTATAAAGAAAATTGAATAATAACCTCATGTGATTTAAAGCAGTTTGCAATTCTCTTAGCAAAATGACCTATATGTGATAGAAATGTTGAACCAACAATTCCTGCATTGCTTTGAGCTTTTCATGTGACCATTATAGTGTGTACAGGTATTCTTAATTTGTATACCCTCCTGGAGGGCTGTATCTGAATTCTGTGGATTTCCCTTTGTAGCAAGCTAAATGTTGCATGCCATTAGGTATTAAATTAATGCATTTTGATGATCAACCTGCCCTGAAGACAATATTTCTCTTTTGAAATATTTGTGTGTGAGTGAATGCATTCATCCTCAGTCCTTTGTACTCAAAGTCCTTGAGGTAGCAAAGTCCTCAAAATGCCTGCAAGCTGAGTCTTTTAGCTCACAGAAGGTAAATTGGGATCAGGATAACATAATACCATTTCTGACCTCTCCCAACATGTGTGACAGGGATTCTTGTGCACTACCTCAGTATTTCTCCCAATTAATTTTGAGAATCCCTAAGTGGCGTTTCAACTATGAGTGACAAACTTTGTCCTCTTGTGTGCCATGTGGGCTCTGCCATTTGTTCACCTTCTAGTACTACTCCAACCCACTATGGTGAGCCTCCTGGTAAAGTTAATCCCAAAGCAGCAGCTAAGTAGAGTTGGTACCTGTTTAGGATAATGATGGAAGATGCCAAAAAGCTGCTGCTATCCATTGCCCTGTGCACTCATGCTGTCAAAGGAGCAGTGCTGAAGAGGTTGATAAGGATGCCATTTCCTATCACTGCCCAGTGCCTCATACTTGCACCATATTATGACCACTTTATTGACTTAGCTTTTTGTAGTTTTTAACTGACCTCTTTGAGCACACTTGTCCTCAGAAGTAGGCATGTGACTGAGCTGGCAAATTATCAGAGTGTCCAATTTGTTACATGATTACCTCTCTTCCATTCTGGCCCCATGCTGTAGAGCCTAACCCATGTGCTCAGCTCTCAGGCTTTGGGATGAAATTCTCAGACCCACTTCACCAGGTCTACAGACATCCCCAGATGTGCCTGAATGCTAGGATAATTTGGCTTGAAGGCAATTATTTCTATCCCTGCTTTAGACAAAGTTGGAGGGTAATGTGGTGAACATAAATTAAGGAACAATATCAGATTTGACTCCTCTGAGGCCATCCGAGCTAAAAAGTGCTCTTAAAATGCAAGGGAAGGGAGTAACACAAAGTCCCATAATCTCTAGAAACATGTCTTCATTTACTTCATTCAACAAGTATTCATTAAATACTTACAATGTTCCAGACTGGGGATTGCAAATAGGTTCCATCTTGTGTGCCAGCGCTGATCAATTGGTGGTTACTGCCTGTAGCTGTCTGAGTCTGCATGTGGGCTCCACAGGGAAGTGTCATGAGTGATTAGCAACGTCAGCTATAGTAGAAGGATTTAGTAGTAGTGGCAGCAAACACAGCAGGTATTTGCTATCCGTGTTCCAGTCTCCAGAGATACAGCAGTAAATAAGACACATGCATATCTTTAAGTAGCTAAATTCCCTGGCAACAAGAATTCACAGAATTTAATTTAATTTAATTTAATTTTGAGGCTTAGATTCCCTTTCCAAAAGATGTCCTTCAGTCATTCAAGCCAACTCTGCCAATCTTGGCATGCACTGGTATTTTTCTCCTACCTCTGCCATGTTTTCATCTGGTTCTGTGGCATCTGCAGCCAGCCATAGCCTCGCTCCTTGTTGTTAATGCACAAGACTAATTCATCTCCTGCCTAAAGGAATTGGGAATGGCACTACAAAGAAAAATTGCCCCCTGACTCAAGAAAAGTCTGTCCTGGACCAATTTCAAAAAGTTCAGCTCCCTACAGAATGATGCAATTCGACATCCCCATTAAAATAACCAGAGAGAAGAGTCAAAGAGGGAATGAAAGGAAGAGACTCATATTTCAAGCCGAAAAGAAAAATCATTTAGTTGACTTGCATGGGGATGAAAGAGACCTCAGCCCCAGAAGCTAATTACCTATAGCATTAATTCAGGATGTGAGAGACAAAAGATGTACCTTTGTAAAAATGCCCCAAGATAGTCAATTGAAGCTGATTAGTAAAAGCAAAGCTGGAGGGTAGGGGGGAGGGTGTGCAGGGAGTTGTGATTCATGGTGTCTTTTCTAATTTCCTAAAGAATCGCCAGCATATGAGTTCTATAAAAATCAATTAATCATTTGAAGCCAGATACATTCTTTATTGAACCTGGCCTTTCCTTATTAAATATAGTGATGAAGACCAGAAATAAGGAAATAATACTTAGCATGATCCATCAAGATTTCTATATATTTTACTGCTAATGAAGCAAAAATACATTTTTATCCAATAGATATTGAGATAATCAAATATCAAGCCAAACTGTCTCTTCAATTTCCTGACACAATTAATGGATGAATACAATGTTCATTTAAAAGCAGGGCTTTCCTTCACCTCCACAATCAACGTAAATAAAGCATCTGGTTTGCTTTCCTTTTGGATCTTAGTAAGTGGGGGTAAATCATCTGAGTTCTGCAATGACAAAGTTTTATATCATGCTTGAACTGCTTTATAAAGAAAGAAAACATGGCCTTTGTTAATGAATATCTGTTATGTGTCTTATGTTACCCTATTTTTCTTCAAAAGAAACCATTTTGTTTTTCTAACCACTCTTGCCTTTTTTTCCCTGGGACAGCACCTGTTGTCTTCTGGGAATTGTCCTTTCTTTCCCCCAAGTCCAACTTTATGATTTTCAGTATAAATGTCAATAATTGATCATGGTCTTACTCCTTGTTTCTCTCCACTACAGATCAAGGGGTGGGCACTAGAATCAGGATGGGTCAGAGTTCCTTCCCTGATATTTTAAAACTTGGGAACAGAGGGAGCCTCATGCTGCCTTTCCTTACTGGCGGAAGTATTTGGCAGGCATGTTCTGGGGAGCCAATGCACAGAAAGACAGAATGGACAAAGTCCTGAAATGAGAGACAGAAGATTTTGACTGAATCCTTTTTCTTGCAGAAGTCTAGCAGTATCCATTCCTGTGGCTTGGATGCTCAATTCTTATATGAGATGCTCCAATACTCTTCCTGTTTATTCATTTTGATTAAGCTAACTAAATTTGAACTGTGGTAACAAAGAGCCCAAACTATGGAAGTGCCTACTAAGTGTGCTAGCAATTGACTTGGTGGTAACGCTAAGCAGTTGGGACCATTTCATCTAGTCAGTGGATAGACATTGATAGGAAGACTTTAGGGAATAACGGGGATTTGGGAAGATTCTGAGGGATAGTTAGGAATGGGCAGGGATGCTGAGGCAAATTGTACCATTAATAAAAGAATAGGATGGCAATTTGCATTCAGATGATCAAATCCCAGGCCAGGTGCATTGTAGAATCTGTGAGGACACCCTAGTGCAGGACTTACATACACAGCCAGGAAGTCACATGATTAGTCTTTTGTTTCCTATCTCTCCCCAACTACTTGCTCTCTATGCTTACCTTTAAATTTGGCATCACTTGTCAGCTTTGATATCCACATCCTCCCTTAGCATCCTCTTTGGTCAAACCTTAATTACCTCTCCTTGACTTTCGGCCTTCTAGATGAATTCCCCCCCAGTTTTCATGCCCATGGTTTTCACCCACAGCCAACTGACCTTTGTCCTAGGCCTGACCAATATAGTAGCCACTAAACACGTAAGTCTATTTGAATTTATATTTTTGAAGTTAAAAGTTTAAAAAATTACATATAAAGCTACTCAGCCAGATTTCAAGCACTTGATAGGCACATGTGTCTAGTGGCTACTGTATTGAACATTTCCATCCTGGTAGAAAATTCTGTTAGACATCCTTGTCCTATAAGGTTGCCTGACCAGACTACCATTGGTTGCCCTCTTGACAGCTACTAAGAAAATGCATAAACAATAATAAAATACAACAGCCAGAAGTGTCCTTATTTCTCCCAGGGATGGAAAACATGTTACAAGTGCTTTCATGCCTCTCATGGGCCATGCCCTTGGCAGACATCACTAGTTAATCACAGCATTATTTCCCACTGAACCAAGACAGCTTTTACAGTCTTTCTGAATGCTCTGCTCCTGGAAACTTCTATCAGAAATGACCAGGGTGGATATTTGACATAAACCATTTAGAACCTGTTTCAAGTACAGTCCCCTCATTTAGCTTAAGAGAAAATCAAAGTCCAGTGAAGCAAATGAATAATAGAACCTGGACTAGAGTTTAGGCCTTCTGTTTAAAAGCAGTATAGCATGTTCACTAAAGCAGTATAGCATGTTCAGTATAGAATTAAACCGCTTGGGTTTGGACCCCAGTTCCACCTTCTAATTTCTGTGTGATCTTATA